GCGCGCGGAGCGCGCCAGGGTCGGCGCCGGAGGCGCCGCCAAGGGGGTCCCGCGCGGATCCGAGAAATCCGCGCGGACCCCCGAACTTGTATGGTTGTGTAATTCTTCGTCCCCCTAGCTGTAGCTCCGACGTCATCGGTATCCGCATCTCCACGACTCCTCCCCGTCGCTCTCGCGACGTGGGAGGATCCATGTCTGTGGGCGTCCCGGGATCCTCCGGGATTCTGTCGCCCGAGGATCCTCCGTGGGCGTCCCGGGATCCTCCGGGCTCCCCGTCGCTCTCGCGGCGTGGGAGGATCCATGTCTGAGGATCCGCGGCTCCTCCCCGTCGCTCTCGCGGATCGGGGTTCTCGGGGGCGGCCAAGAGGGGGGCGTCCAAGAGGGGGGAGGGTGCAAATCATGACCAGCGGCATGTGCGCGGCCCAGCGGGGGGGCCAGGGACGTAATGAAACAAGAAGAGGTGCCATGAAATCTGGGGAAATATCATGGCCGACGCCATGATATCCAGCCACCCTAGTCATCACCCCCCTCTTTGCCGCCCCCGAGGATCGGGGCTCGAGGATCCATGTCTGCGGGCGTCCCGGGGTCCTTTTCTGTGCCTCTTTGGGGATGGGTGCCCCCGCGGCCACGGCTGGCTCCGCCTCAGGACAGGTCTGCTGGCCGAGGTCGCCGACGTTGTCGTGGTCGCCGCAGGAAGAGGAGGAGGAGGAGGAGGAGGAGGAGGAGGAGGAGGAGGAGGAGGAGGAGGAGGAGAAGGAGAAGGAGGAGGACGACGAGGAGGAGGAGGAGGAGGAGGAGGAGGAGCAGACGGAGGGCTCCGAACAGCGGGGCTCGTTCCGGCAGGGGGTCCCAAAATCTTCTTCTCGACCCGTCGGGCCTTCTCGGCACAGGGGTTCGCCACCCGACCTTCTGGCCCTGCCGGATAAGGAGGGGCCCGCCTAGCCCCGGGCGAGGTCCGTACGTCAGGCTCGTGTCGTGCCGGCTTCGGCGTTGGCTTCTGACACCGCGGGGATCGTTCAACCTTGAACGATCGGCCGTCGACGAAACGTCCAAATCGTTCCACACCGAACGATTCTGAGTCGCCCGCGGCGTTCTAAATGGAACGCCGCTGGCGGGGTCGCCGCCGGTCGACACGGCACGAGCCTACCGTACCCCTGCTCCTGCCACAGATCTCCGATGGGTAAGAGCATCTGGACAAGAGATGGAGGCCCCTGAGAGGCTTCCCACGAGCCCTTCATGGGACGCACAGCAACATGCTAATACTACATGTCCTCCTTGGAGGTGCGCGTCCGACACAAACATATAGTATGCCCATCTTGTAGTATATCGTTTCCCGGGCAGTGCGGCCAGAAAGCGCCCGCCACGACGCATATACTATGCGATTTCTCGGTGCGCGCGTCGCCCCTGGGGGGGCGACGCACTCATAGTAAAGTATGTTGGGGTGACGCCGAGCTCAGATGCATCCAAGAAGCTCTTGACCCACTAGATGACTTCCAAGGATCGTCGCAAGCACTAGCTCCTGCTGGGGGGTCGGAGGAATGGTGTAAGCCACTTGAGTGAGAGGTCGAGCCTCTGGAGAATATGACTCCGATGCGTGCCACGCTACCCCGCAGGCCGCCCAGAGTGGAGACCCCCAGCTGAGGGGGGCAGGAGGGAACGCCGATGGCCAGCAGGGAGGATCGAGGATCGAGGCTCGAGGCTCTGCAAGTTCTGCGCCACTCTCCTGGGCCTCAGAGGGCCTCCAAAGGCCTCCAGGGACCTCCAGAAGCCCCCAGGCATCCGACGTCGTGCTCTTGTTCGCAGCGTGGCAATCGGCTGGGCCACGACTGGTGCCCTCCACTCCTGTAGAGGGACGTGCTCGACGTAAAGCCAGACCACGGCAGCACGTGCCCCGCGAGCATCGACGCCGGCACGGAGCACGCGGGATCGCAGAGGCGGTCCCGTCCCCAGCCGAGAGAATGAGGACGGCGTGCCTCTGACGCTCTTGGCTGCTCTCCTGCTGTCCCATGGGTGCCATCGCTCGGACGTCCACTCCCCGTGCATGTTTGGTTGTCGTGCGTGTTCTTTTCTGCAGCGCGCATAAGGGGTTAGGGGGAGGGGGGGGGAAGGCTTCTCAGAAGGAAGCCGCTCCTTAGAAGGCACGGGCCTTATCTCCAGTCACAGATGAGGCCCGCGCCTCCTAAGAAGTGGGGGTGCTTCTGAGAAGCCGTCCCCCTCCTCCTGCCCCCCCCCCCCCCTCTGCGCGTGGCCGATCTTCCCTGCCCGAAGATCCAGGATGCTCCTCGAGGGCCCTCGCCGAGAAGAAAAACACATGCACATGCACGTGCAACTCCTCCTCCTCCTCCTCCTCCTCCTCCTCCTCCTCCTTCTCCTCCTTCTCCTCCTCCCCCTCCCCCTATGCACATGCACGTGCACACGCCCGAGCGACGCCGAGCGTGTGCCTCGCTGCGCAAGGCGTGGCTCCGCCGCGCCCCTCGACGGCCGCTCTGCTCGACGCCCTTCGTGCCCCACGCCGCCGCGGAGACGGAACAGCGGCGGCGAGCCCAGGGGAGCAGGAGCAGGAGGAGGCGGAGGAGGAGGATGAGGAGGAGGAGGAGGAGGAGGAGGAGGAGGAGGAGGAGGAGGAGGAGGAGGAGGAGGAGAGGCAGCCGCCTTCTCAGAAGGCCCGGAAGTTCCCCTGCCTCCTGAGCAGTTCTCGGAGCCTTCCCCCCGAAGGCACAGAGCGCCTCTCAGAAGGCCGGGGGGGGGGGCTTCTAGGAAGTCCCGCCGCCTTCTGAGAGGGCCTTCTCCTTCTCGCTGTCCCCCCCTGGCTCGCCGCCGAGAAAGAGCTTCCCCTGATGGCGATCTCTCCGACCTCTCTGGAGGTCCGCTCGTGGGGAGCCCCACAGCGGGGCTCCACGAGAGAGAGAGAGAGAGATAGGTCGGGCATGTCCCCCTACAGGCGGATTGTGGACTAAAAATAAAAAATAAGAAATAGTCAAGAGATGCTCCAAAATTATCCAAGATGGTCACAAAATCGTCCCCGGACTATTTTTGGAATAGGTTTGAGTACTCCTCCTGTAGAGGACCAAGCCCGACTTAAAGAGAGAAAGAGAAATATAGAGAGAGAGAGGGAGAGCGCGGCGCGGCGCGGCAAGCGAAGGCGCGCTGGGGGGTGCCGGGAGCTCTGGAGAGCCCCACGCACTGGAAGCAGACCGCGGTGTGGGACGCCCCCAAAATTCGGTCGCGTCGTTTCGGCCAATCTCGGCCTCGGGGGGGCCCTCGCGGGGCCTCGGGACCGTCAAGAAGCGATCCAGGATGAAAGCCTGGCCCCGTGGAAAGGGCCGGGACTTCGGAGGACCCCGCGATGGAAAACTCAGGGCGTCGCATGCCTGGGTCTGGGTGGGGATGCATGGACGTCCCGTTGTCCTCCGCTGGTCTTTCCCGCCCCAGGAAGGCATGAAGTCCAAGAAATTGTCCCAGGGTCTGGCCAGCGCCGGGGGGTTCTTGAGCCGCGCACCTAGGGCCAGGACTTTCGAGCCTCTGGCTGCACGACTGCGGAGGAGGAGGAGGAGGAGGAGGAGGAGGAGGAGGAGGTGGTGAGAGTGAGGGAGGAGGAGAGGAGGAGGAGGAGGAGGAGGAGGGAGGAGGAGAGGATGGAGGAGGAGGAGGAGGAGGAGTAGGAGGAGGAGGAGGAGGAGGAGGAGCATCGAGCGAGGTGCCGATGTGTGACGCAAAAGCTACGTTGGGCGGCCACGGGGTGCGACGCAGGCTACGTCGGGCGGCTACGGGCGGCCACGGACGGCCACGGGGCGGTCACGGGCGACCGCGGGGCGGTCCCACGGGCCGCCCACGGGGCGCCCAGGGGGCGGCCATGGGGCGGCCGCGGGGCGGCCACCGAGCAAAGCCTCGCGTTGCCCAGCCAAGCTCGGCGCGCGCGAGGGGAGGGAGCGAGAGGGAGAGGGAGGAGGCACTCTCGGGAGCCCCCGCGGCTTCTGAGGAGCTCTCTGCGTCGTCGGGGAGGGCTTCAAAAAAAATTCTCATCCTCAGAAGGCAGGGGGACTTCTAAGCGTTCTGAGAAGGCCCGCCCCCTCTCACTCCCCCCCCCCCCCGGGCTCGCTGTCGAGAGGGGGTTGGTGGGTGGGGGGGCAGGTCGACGTGCAGAGTGCCCGTCTCCAGTCCCAGTCAGGCACCCCACGCGAACGGGCAGGCTCAGGAACGCGCGTTCCGAGGCGACCGTGCGCGGTCTCTATCCAGCGAGGGCATCCTGGCGCCCCACCCACTCTTTTGACTCGAGAGGATGACTGTGAGTGTATGCCAGGGAGACAAATGCGAAACGGCGCAGATCTCCCTCTAAAGCGCCACAGCGGCTCGAATTCGCAGGGAAGGCACGGCGCAGCCGAGCACGGAGCACGCAGGGGCAGTCTGCCACAGAGCGCCAGCATCTCGACGCGCGGGCACCGGATTAGGCATGCACAGGCCGGCGGGTGCACACAGCGCCGGGCTCGAGCTCGGCATCGGTCAGCGCCGCGCCACCAGTGCGGCAGCGCTGCAGCGACCCTGGGCCGACTGTTACGTTGCATCCTCGGGGGGCCTTGCCTGTCCCGTCGCTGTCTTATCCGCGTCGAATCCGTGTCGAATCCATGTTGGACTCGTCGGATCCGTGTCGAATCCGTGTCGAATCCGCGTCGAATCCATGCTAAGTCCGCGTCGAGTCCGCATGCGTCGGACACGCCGAATCCGCGTCGGACTCGTCGAATCCGCGTCGAAGCATGCGTCGGACACAAGAAAAGACACCAATTTTGGGGACAGGCGAGGTCCCCCGAAGATGCAACGTAACGACGGCTGAGTTACGAGGAAACCCAAAATGGGTGGTGATACATACGTGCGGATACATGCCCAACGCTCCAACTGTACTGCGCTGTTGTGCTCAGGACCGCCATACACGGAAAAAATGGCGCACGCCTGCATGAAGCAACCGTGAAGGAATAACAAGGCGCTGCAGTTCCTCGAGAAACCGGCTACTCGGCTTCGAAATCGTCCTCGTACAGCTTCTCTCCTTCGGCAGGCCCTCGCGAATCCTCTGACACCTTTGTTGCGTCCGTCGAGGCAGTCATTGGCGAGTTCCGCTCGTCGCCCGACCCCATGTTGCTCTTCAGAAGCTTCATGTAGCGCTCCTGCGCCGCCTTGTGACCTCTCTCCTCCTCAGCCAACTTCGTGCGGAGCTTCTGCTGCTCGCCCAAATTGTCCCTCAGATGACGCCCGGTGCGCATGTACGCATGCACGGTGTGCGCTCAGCGTACAGAACTGCTGACAGTGTAAATATTTCGACCAACAGCTTCTGACTTGCAGTGTTGCAATAGGGGCGCGATATCTTCAACTGAGCTGCCAGACTACACCATATCCTCCCTCTCTCTTTCTCCCTCTCTTGCTCTCCGTTCCTCTCCCTCTCTCTCTCTCTCTCTCCTCTCCAAAATTCCCCTTACTCTCCTTGCTGGACCCTCTTGCTCTTTTCTATCTCGAAGCCTCTCCATACATATTGTCGATGTACAAATAAATCGAGATACATGTTTAAACGGTCAGAATATGTAGCTTAGCGTGTCGCGGCGGCGGCCCCGGCGGCACGCCATGCCCTGCGAGCGGACAGTGTGTCGCTCCGCTCTGCGTCGCGGGAGACTCGGAACAACTCGTGACGTTGATGCTATAGCGTGTCGCGCCGAAGCGTGGTGGACCAAAACGGGCGGCGCGACACGCTAAGCCCAACCGCATTCCTCATCATGCGTGCCCTGCCCTTCATACGTTTAGCCGTCTCATCATGGTGTCCATCCTGCTGCGCATTCTCATTGCCCACCTCAATGCCACAACATCCCCACCTCATCCTCCCGCTTCGTATCATCCCACCTTCCCTCATTCCGTCCTCGCGTAAATCCCTTGACTTACATACGCATTTTCTCAAACGCACCTCCCTGAGGAGGTAGTTCGGACACTATTAGTGGTGATAGGAATGTTGTATGAACATGGGCACGTACGTGCCGCTTGTTCTAGAACCACCCGCGCTCTTCACATGCGTTCAGGCTCTAGCAAGGCACACTCGCAGCATTCATTGTGAGATCACGAGGGAGCAGGAGAAACGAAGACTTTAGGCGGACGGAGAAGTCAAGAGGCACAGTGACAGAAGAGAAACTGAAAAGGGAAAAGAGCAAGCAGGAATAGCAACAGGAGCACGAAAAGGAGAGAAAGGGAGCATGATCCTGGGAAACAGAAGATGACGTCGCCTCCAACCTCCATCAGGGGTCCTCTTGGGTCGTCTTGGGTGACTCTTGAAATTTCTCTGAAGGCTTTTTGTGAGCCCATGGGACACCTTTGCAGCCTCTTCGGAACCTCTTAGCGAATTGACGGGCGCGCTGTGGTGGTTCTTCTGGGCGGCCTTGGAATCAGATTCAGCCGCATAGCGGGGAGCGTAAAACAACAATTTAAAATGACACCCACGCGACCCCAAACAGGGGCCTTCGCTCTTCCAAAGCTATGTCGAATCACTTCTGCAAGCAATGCTAGGCAACGCAGCCCACTGCAATGAAGTGCCTGGAATTGAGGTGATTGCTTGGCCTTGCTTGGCGTTGCTTGGCATTGCTTGGAAGCTGATACTTTGCATCAATTGGCTTCGCCTAGAATTGCTTGACATTGCATGACGTTGCATGGCATTGCTTGGCGTTGACTTGCACTGCTTGGCATTGCGTTGCATTGTTTGGTATTGGTTGGCATTGCTTGGCGTTGCTTGGCATCGCTGGGGATTGCTTGGCACTGCTTAGCAGTTCTCGGTAATGCGGTAACGCGTGTCATTGTTTGATACTGGTTGTCATTGCTTGGCGTTGATTGGCAATGCTTTGGGTTGCTTGGCATTGTGTTGCATTGCTTGGAGCTGATTGGCGATGCTTGGCATTGCGTGGAATCGTTGCCCGGTATCGCTTAGCATTATCTGGGATTGCCTGACACTGCATGGCATTGCCTGGCGTTGACTTGCATTGCTTGGCATCGCTTTGCAGTGCTTGGCACTGATTGGCATTGCTTGGCGTTGCTTGGCTCTGCTTGGCATCGCTGGGCACTGCGTAGCAGTTCTTGGTTTTGCGTGTCATTGCTTGGTTGCTTGGCAGTGCTTGGCGCTGCTTGAGCATTGAGCAACAACGCTGAGGAACCCAGAGGAGCCCTGAGAACCGCCGGCGGCGAAGGACTCCGCATCCACGGGCGTCTTGCGCAGATGAATGGGAAACCCGTAGGCAACGCTCCACTGGGGAACGACAGATGTTTGCATGTCCCGGGGGCGCGCAAACATGGATTAGCGATCCATGGATTTGGCGCGAGGTCGCTAAATCCATGGATCGGTGGAGGTGCCCTCTCCCAAATGCGGCCGGTGCCGCCTCGTTCGGCGGCGGGGATCCGCGATTTCCCGTGGAAGCGGGGCCCGTCGCTAATCCACGCCCCCTTGATCCATGTTTGCGCTCGCCTGAATGTCTGGGGGTCTACGAAAAAACCATCTTGAAACGTCAGGGCCCTCGGAGAGCTCTCCTGGCGCCGTCCGGGACCCGCTTTTTCTGGCGCTCTCGGGGCACTCCTGGGGGGGACACTCCGGCCTTCCAGCGCCATTTGTGGAGCTCTCCCGAGGGCGCGAGAGAAGGGCTCGCTTTTGACGCTCCAGAGATTCGGCGGTGAACAAACCTTGTGGATGCCACGACAATGGACACCCTAACAGTCTTATCATTGAATTACAAATGTGTGTGAAATGTCGGAAAATGTTCTAAACATGTGTTGAACCTGTCTTTTACATGTTTCAAACATGTTGAACACATGGTTTAGACATCTGGAAATTATTTGGCAACATGCTTCCTCTCCATTGATGGTCCTCCACAAGACAAACCTCCCTTTAATAAACCACCCATTAATGAGAACGGCCTGGGACCGAAACCGACGGGCCTGGACCCGCAAAAATGACGACCGCGACGCCCTCTCGCGAACCCCAACACGGCCAATGCGCTGATCGGCGCGTCAGGGCAGGAGGCCCATCAGCCTCCGACAGAGGGTGGCGAATCGGCCGGGAGCCCCAGGGAACGCAATCCTGCATTCACATGTTCTGCGCGGTCTTCGCGCCAACAACACTCAACAAAGGGCTGGACCTGGTGATTTCGTGGGCCGTTTTCGTTCCGACCTCGTTCTGCGGTAAAGGCGGAGTCGAGACACTGGGCCCCGGGGCCATCGAAAATGGATCCGCGATGAAAAACTACCCTTGGGGAAGCGGTCGGGACCTCTGGAACTGCGGATTTCTGAAATGTTCCAAAGAATCAGGGAATGTCAGGGTAGCGAGAGGAGGAGGCGGAGGAGGAGGAGAACCATAAGGAGAAAGAGGAGGATGAGGACGCACGCGAGGGAAAACGAGACCACAACGGAAACGAAAAGCGCCGTTCAGGTCCCGCCCCGATTCTCAACACAGCAAGGCTTGCTGGTGTTCCGCTCTGGCTCTGCTCCCGCGGACCCCTCCTGGACAGCCCGGGGGCAGGCCCAGCGCCGCCCTGGGCACGCCTTGAGGCGTCCCCGAGGAGGAGGAGGAGGAGGAGGAGGAGGAGGAGGAGAACCAGGAGGAGGAGGAGGAGGAGGAGGAGGAGGAGGAGGAGGAGGAGAACCAGGAGGGAGGAAGAGGAGGAGGGAGGAGGAGGAGAGGAGGAGGAGGAGGAGGAGAGGAGGAGGAGGAGGAGGAGGAGGAGGAGGAGGAGGAGGGGAGGAGGGAGGGAGTCCCCCGGGCGATCCCCCGGGCGATCCCGTGGCCGAGCTCTGGGCGCCCGCCCGCTCCCCCCTGGGGCCGCGCAGGCCCGCTCTCGAGGGTCGGGCGTCCTCCCCGGAGGTGCCCTCGAGCTGGAGATCGCCCCCCGAGATTGAATGGGGCCCTGGGACACACAAATAAATACACACAAAGAACAGGCTTCCCCATATTTCCCCATATCTTCTGGGCTCTTGTCCTTCCCCCCCCCCCACCACTTCCCATAGTTTCCCATATTATTTTCTGGGGAATCGACGATTCATTGTGTCTGTGTGTTGCTTCCGCTCCTGAGAGATTTTGGAAAGCCCGGTGACTTTTCCATAGATTCTGGGGATGCCCAGAAGCCAGCTGGAGAGTTCCCAAACCAGATGCTCTCGAGATGCTCCACACCCTGCAAAGCGTCCGCAGGAGCGGGGGTCCGGTTCGTGGATCGACCTGGTCCGACTTCGACACAACCCGAGATCACCACGCATCATCCAACACAGGGCCCACGGGGTGAAGCAGCTTCACCCCGTGGGCCTCGGTCGAGCTTGCCATATCGACCAAAATCTTCCGTACCCTCGGCCCCTGCAAGCCGTGGCCTGGCCTGGGGGGACTGAAGGAGACGACTTCGGGATGAAAAGCCAGCCCAGGGGAAGGGGTCCCAATCCCAAGGGGCCTCACACCACGAAAACAGTGGGACTCTGTACTCAAGACGTAGTACTGTACGTATCGGAGGTTCGTTTTGTTTTCTCTCTTTCCAGCGCAACAATCAGCCAAGGACGAGTTGCTTGCCTGGTGTGGTCCCATGGTCCCAAAAATTAATGGTGATACAGCGGCGATAAACAGCCATACACTGCAACGGCAGGGGGTGCAACGCAGGGTGTGCACGTATCGGAGGTTCGGGTATGAGACCGAAATGAAATGGAGCGCCCCCCCCCACACTGGGAAATCTGTTTCGGTTCGTACCGCGTGCACGTGCAAAGCGAAAGTTCGTGGGCGGGCAGAGGCTGTCCGGTGGCAGGGGGAGTCCCACCAGTCGGCGTTCCGTTTGGCCTCGCTTCCCTTCGCTTGTCCCCCAGGTTGTCGCATGGTTGTCTCGTGGTTAACTCGCTGGTCGTCGCTTTGCTTGGCCTCACTTCCCTTGGCTTGTCTCCTGGGTTGTCCTGTCTTTGTCCCGTGGTGTCCCCTGGATGTCCCGTGGGTGTCCCGTGGAAAGTCCCGTGGGGTGCCCCTTGATGAACGCAGATCAAAACTCGATTCCAACTGCCGGTAAATAGAGGAGGCAAACTGCAAGTGTTGACGCGAGGCCAATCGAAAATCGAAAGCTGCCCCCCTCTCATTCCCAATCTCCTTTCTCACCGAAGGGTGGTCGACGAAATGTAGATGTCGCACTTTGTCCGCCCCGACTGAGACGTTCCTGGCCCCAGAAGCGCTACCACAAAGGCCTGAATCAACCCACGCCCACATCGCCAAGAGACACTCTGGGTACTCGCTGGGAGGCTGCACTAGTGCTAGAGGCCTTACTCTGCGTCGCGTGGCCGAGCTGCTCTAAGCACTGGACAAGTTTTCGCTGGCCAGCTTCTGAACACGATCGTGCAGCTCCTCGTTGCCTTCCTGCAACTTTCGCACCTGTGGGGTCGCGCGGCCCGATCGACTGGCAGAGGACTCCCGTCGTTGCTGCCGGTCCGAGGCCACCGAGGCTCGACCCATCCACCGACCGATTCAACAAGACAGCCGCACCCGCGCGAGTCGATCGATCAATCCACTCGACCTATACAGGCCTCCATCGTAGAGGTCCGAGTAGATGGGGTCGGAGAATCACGCCGCATCGGTGGGCGACGCATCGGCGACGTCGGCGTGGAGAAAAGTGGGCCCCACGTCGAGCCGCATCGCCGATGCATTGGCAATGCGGCGCGATCATCACTAACACTATCGTCGTCATCATCGCCAGCGTCATCGATGCCGCCGTCATTACCATCACGATCAGCGTCATCACCACCGTCGTCGACGACATCGTATCGTCCCCATATCCACGGTCATCACCATCAGCATCAACGTCATCGCTGCACTTGTATGCGCGGTGAATATTCATGCGCGTGTGCGCTCGTTGCGATCATGGCCAGATGAGCTGTGCCAGCAACTTGCGGGTGGGATGGCGGGATGGTTGCGCGAGCAGTTCAGCTGACGATTCCACGACTTTCAAAATTCATGACGCCACACGGATCACACTCCACCCATGGCGCCACATACTGCACCACAGAGCCTGCAGAACATATATATATATATATATACATATGTATATATATATATGTATGTATCACTTGCCCCACATAGATCGCACAGCACAGATCGAACCCTGGTGCTTGCACGGCACAGCTTGCCCTACATACATCGCACAACATATACTGGTTCCCCTGGGTTGCATTGCCTGGACTGCACCGCATAGGCTGCATCCAAGATACAGTCGGGGCGTTGACCTAAGGAACCCTAAATAAGGAACGGGGCCCCTTTCTCCCATAAGTTGAACTTCGATTTGCCATGGAAAACCTCAGGAAAACAAAAGGCAAACTGCAGAACAACCAAGGAACACCGAGCCCCTACCCAACGAAAAGCGTTCCTTCTTCAGGGCCCCGACTGTACGGGGTCGTCGGGGGTTCAGCTGGTCTCGAGAAGAGTCGCATGACTTCCAGGAACGGGGCAACACCGATCTCCACGCCTCCCTGTGTCTGCATCGGCGCCGGACCTCCTCGGTGAGCTGCTCCATCTCCTCCTCCTTCTCCTGCAAGCGCTCCGTGAGGTAGACGTATCCGTTGTTCGTGTCCACAAGCTCCTCGTCTTTCGAGTTGCAGTACTCGAAATACTCCTCCTCCTTTGCCCTTGCCACGTCCCGCTCCTCCGTCATCACCTGGTAGTTCAAAAATGTAGGAGCGAGGGCGAGGATAGGGGAAGGGGAGCATGAGGACGAGGAGGAGAAGGTCGAGGAGAAGAGAAGGAGCGACAGGCGGAGGGGTGGGATGAGGATGAGACCAAGAATGACAAGGAGGACATCGAGGACGAGAGAGGAAAGAGCATTGGAAAGATATCATACAGTTGGGCCGCTGAAACAAGGACCAGCGAATAAGGAACGACGCCAAGTCTGGGTCCCCAATGCTCCAGCGTGCAAGAGGAGGGCTACACGAACAACCACATAATGACCCAAGGAAAATCAAGCCCCCTTCATACCCAACCTGTTCCTTATTTCAGCGTCTTGATTCTATTTTGCACTACAGCGAAAGTGAGCGAAAAGAGTCGGAGATTTGCACATATGCCCTGTGCTCAGCCCTCGTATTCTACGCCTCGACCGCACTCACTATTGTCTTGCCCAGGTGGACACGGAACATCTCCTGAAGCAACATCTGCACCCACCTGAAGCCTACGGCAACGCCGCTAGCGAAGATGATGGGGCCAAACGAAATACCGAGGGTCCTGATGCTCGGGGTCCACCCCGGCCCTCTAGGGCTCGGGGACTGGGCCACCCTACCCTTGCTCCTCTGCGCCTGGAGCGTCTCCTCCACGACCGCGGCCTAGCCTCGCCATGCCTTCTGCGACCAGTCCCGATTCCATGGCTGCAGCCGCCAACCCCGCCAGCTCATGACAGGCGCAGTCTGATGAAGAGCGCAGCAGGCAGCAGCTGGCGCAAGGAGCGGCCGCAGCAACCGGGGTGAGAAAGAATCGAGGCACCACGGGCGACACGAGCCCCCCACCGGGGAGGACGCCAGCCCTTCCCAGTTGTAGCTTCTGAACCTGCAGCAGAACCAAAACAGGAATCGCTCCTGTTGCAGTCTGGGCTGCCGCCGCTGACCTAGGGCGTCTCGAGAGACACCACATCCTCGTGGCCGGACCCGTCACCGCGCGCGTCCACGCAAGCTTTGCCGCAGGCGAGGCAGGCCAAGACCTCCTGGAAACGCAGGCAACGGCCACAGCCCGCGCGAACCACGAGGCCTGCTGCCCACCGCCAACTGCCACTGAGGCGGCCTCAACAGCATCGAACTCGTCGGCACGCGGATGTCAGTCGCACATCCGCGACCGCCTGTGCCGACCCTTCCCTATCAACGCCCCCAGCCTCTTCCGCTGCAGCACGGCACATCGATCCTTTGACACACCACTGGCTTGCTGTTACGTGGTTTCCACTCGGAGCGTCTCCGGTGTTTCCGAGTAGCGTTCTCGCCTCGACGCCTGCAACACCCCTGCCCCATCTACAACGTCTCAGTCGGAATACCCTCTCCTCTCTTCTGACGACGTCGTATGTTTTACCTGCCGCTCCCGTACACGCTTCTGCCACTTGGGAATTCCACTTGGCACGTGTGTTATCCCACTCGGGGCGTCTCCGGCCATGCGAAAGTGCACCCTGGCGTCGGCAAGGAAGAGGGTAGGGGTAGGGGGAGGGGGGGGGGGAGGTGGAGGGGGAGGAGGAGGAGGAGGAGGAGGAGGAGGAGGAGGAGGAGGAGGAGGAGGAGGGCAGCTTCCCCACAGGGAGCCTGCAGAAGGGGCAGGAGTGCGGCGATCGCCGAGGCGAGAGCCCCCCCTTGCGGACCGACCGAGGACGCTCGAAGTGGAGGAACACACATCCACAGTGAGGAGACCATGCAAGGGAGGAACGGGTGCCTGTTAAGACGTCGCAAGGACACAAGGTGGAACAATACTCAGACGTACGGCTGTTTCAGAGGTTGTCATCTGTCGGCAGGCGCTCTCCATGCCCAGAATTCGGCCCCGGATGAATCGCCAATCTCCCCCCCGTGTACCATCGGTCGACGTACGCCCCCAATGAGCAAATACTCCCAATTCGCTGCTGTCACGTAGTACGTTCAACACCTATAAAGAAATTCATGAGTGTGTGGTCTCGTCGCTTCCACACACCAACTGATTTGGCAACTTGTTAGTCAACGCGGGCCCAAAACAGTGTGGTCGTAGCAATCCGCGTGGAGCAAGACATGTGAAACAACATGGGTGGTGAAATCTACGAGGCGGAATGTATGATGTGCAACAGATGTTGTGCAATATATATATATATATATATATATATATATATATATTGACATGCATGTGGTCCTAAATGAGGCGCAACCTATGTTGTGCAGCAGATGTGGAGCCACCTATGTTGTGCAATCTACGTGGCGCAATATGGGTTATGCGACGCATGTGACGCAACCAATGTGAAACAATCCATGTGGTGCACTCTACGTGGTGCAATATGTGTGGTGCAACAGATGTTGTGCAATGTAGGGTGTCGACTCTACGAAACGCAATAGATGTGGTGACATCGACGTGGTACTCTCGATGTTATGACTCTTGTGCAATATGTCTGGTTCAACCTCTGTGGTGCAATCCGTGCAATCCAAGTGGTGCAAACTACATGGTGCAATCTATGTGGTGCAATTCGCCCTGCCAAACTTGAAGTTGCCAACTCTAATCTCTAATGCTTGCGCAATCACCCCGCCCAACCATCTGGAAATTGCGGCGGCGATTGCGATGACTCTTTGGCGCTGGCTGGCACATCGCTGCGGCCGCACTAGCGCGCGCAGAGGTTCGCGCGCAGAGCGGCCAGCTAGTCTGGAGCGACCGACGTGGCCGCGATGGTGCTGACCGCTGGGAACTTCTCAGCGCGTCATGCATGTCGTGCTTACGCGAAGGCATTTCGGTGAGAGACGGTGGTTCGCACAGGCACGGTATCATGGCGACGTCGACAACGACTGACACGATGATGATAGTAACGATGCTTGTCAAAATGGTGGAAATGACGACGGCAAAGCCTATGACGGCGCCGATGCTCATCACGCCAATAACGACGACACTGTCCGCGTGTTGGTGATGAGGCGTCCGAGGAAATTTCGGCATGCGCGTTCGGCCGACGCGCGCGGGTGGCCCGCATGGTATTACTCGGCAGGGGTCGTGTCCACCCAATGCGCGCAAGGGCGTTCGAATGATTTCGACACGCGCGCGAAAGGCCCGTCTGGTCGTATGCACAGCAAATGTTGCAACAAAAACGATGGTTGCCTTAAACATTCGCAGGACTGCGCGAACAGACTTTTTGCGGGAAAACCACGTCGCAACACCATTGGTTGCTATCTGTGTACGGGACACTCGATTTTGCAATCCGTATGTTGAAGGATTCCGGAGGCGAACGCGACAAAACGCGCTTGCGCACATCGCCCCATGGTTTGCAAGGGTTCTTGCACATTGATGATCTATTATAAACGGGTGCATGTGCATGGCAATATTTGACGAACATGAGGGGGGGCAGATCGATACCAGCTTGGCTGGGATGGTTTGCCTTCAAAACTAAAACCAACGATGGGTCATGATCGTGTGTAAACTACGACTTACCAGCAGGGTGGACCGGTAAGTCCAAAGATGGGGAAGGTGGCGACGAAGCGGCGACGGGGCGGCGACGGCGGCAACACAGCCGCCAGACTGGTAAACAGGCCCATACGACGGGCGGCGACGAGGCGGCGACGGCGGCAACATCCCCGCCAGACTGGCAGACACACCCGCACGACGGGTGGCGACGAGGCGGCGACAGGGCGGGGCGGCAACGCAGCCGCCAGACCGGCGGACAGGCTTCGCACCGTAGAGCAAAAGTGACAATCCTGCATTGCAAGCACAGCTTATGGACTTGCATTACACGCTTGCCACCGCGGGTTCCAAACAGAGAGTTCTTGCACGATATATGTAACATGTATGGGTGGACGTGCGTTGTGAGGTTATGTATATATTTATAGATGTGCGTGGTGAGGAAAAGATGGGAGCGGACGCCGATTGATCCCTTGCCCCTCACGTGGGCTATCACCGTACCCAGCGGGGAGACGATCCCCCTGCCACGCAGCGCAGCGACAATGATCAATGTTGGCCGGCTGGGTCAACGTCACCACCGACGAGGGGAAGTTGATGGGGGAGGAACAGGACGAGGCGAAGGGAGGAGGAGACGGAAAATCGTGACCAAGGGCGTGCAGCACTGCCACCACGTGCGGCCCCACACCCGCCAGGAGCGCGGCAATTCTCCCGAACCGCACGACGCAACTCGTGCACCAGACACTCGCGGCAGGAACCCCTCTAGTACTCCAAAGGACCAGGCAATATGCATAGCGCCTCATGTGTCGGGACGGGACAGCCAGAATGGCACTGGACTCACAGCATACGCCGGGAAGAAGGGGGACGAAGAGGAAGGAGGAACAGAGAAGAAAAGAAAAGCGAGACGGGGCGGCGAAAATCAGCCGGAAATGGAATCGCAAACTCGAACCCGAGACAGACTAGGACGCGGCGGATCTCGAGGGGACTTCAGCCAGCGACCAGCCACCCAGCCCGAGGCTGACACGACCATGGAGCCTGAGGCCGGCCTCGAAAATGCCAAACCAACTAAATCATGATTAAACGCTGAGAATACCAGGGTACAACATGAAAGTTGACGAAAACCGACAATGGAAACAGCCAGCAACAGAAACTTGACAGCATCAAGGGATGCGCGGCATGACCAGCGGCGGCGCCAGCAGGGCAGCACTGGAAAAACTATGAAACCACTTAACCAGGGCAGAATGTCTCAGGGAGGGCACGCGCACAGAATGGCGCCGCAGGTTGGCCAGGCTCTCCCCAGAGCCCACGCCCCCTCACTGGCGCAGAATCAGGCATCGAGAAACGGAGCAGCGAGGGGAGGTTAGGCGGGGGGGAGGAGGGAGAGAGAAGCTCGGGTGGGGGTGGGTGGAGGGAGGAGGCAAGAAGTGGAAAGGAAGGAAGATGATAGAAGAAGCAAGGCATGGGGCGCAGAAGAGGGGGGACGGAAGAGTTGGGAGGGAAGACGGCACAGAGAAGTGAGGACGTAGTACCGCAGAGGAGAGGGAAGAGAGGCGATAAGGAGGGATTCGAAGGGAGAAGGAGGATGAAATGAGGAGCGTGGGGGGGACATCAGGTAGAGGCAGCAGTTCCAGGTGGCGCCGTCGCACATGTACTCACCGAATTCAACATCGTATATTGCATCCGCGTTCAACGCATGCGGCATCATCTCCTCTACTGGGTCGCTGCCACCCTCAGCCGGGTCCATCTGGCAATGCCCGCTGACGCGCTTCATTGCGTGCATGGCAACCTGGTGACGCTTCCCGCGGTCTGCGCACCCAGTTCGACGGATTCGATAACGCGACGACATTCTCAACCACTGACCCGCGCACGCTGGGACCATCCTGAAGCTCCGGCACGGCTGTCATTTTTCGCTGTGCACTGCCCACAGCCCCGATGCCAAATCTGTCGTGGGCGTGCCACTTGTGAGCTGTTTCGTGTTTCTTGGCGCACCCTATCAGGTTACCTCTTCATTGCCTAGGTCCAGTCATCAACCCATAACCGTGTCAATGCTAGTCAATTCTCTGGCAAACTCAATTGCGACATCTGCCGCCGAACGCTTAGCTTACAAAAGCAGAGCCGCAGCCTATCATGGTAACACCTTTGCATTCTGCCTGCTCGGCAACCCAATAAACTCGCCGTGCCTGAAAAGAACACCGACGAACGCGATGTCCACCCTCGGAATATAAGACAGATGGGCATCAGCCTGCGAAGCTCCAGCGGTGCTGCGCGCGTCCATGTCGCCCACGTCGAACTCGAAGCACAAGCAGATAACTTACACCAAGGCGGTGGCCTTGTTACACTCGCGCACCTCCAGTCGTGGGTGTTGAGCTTATGCAGAGAAGTGTCCGTCCATCGCACTCTCTGGACCACGGCGTCACAAGAAGAGTGTGCAACATTGGCTTCCAAAGACGTGGGCTCACACAGAGTTCCCTTGTCCACACAACGAGCTCGCAACGAAGCGGCAACCGCAGCACGTCCCGTTGCAGTCCGGCTGTCGCCCCGCTGCGGTCTCGTGGGCGATGCGTCCAGGCAGGGACGGGCGGAGCATCTTCGGAACGCGTGCCACTTCCCAACGTATAGACTGCAGCTGTCGTTGGGCGTTGCCCGTTCGTCCACGGTGAGACCCCACGTGCGTGCCACTGGTCGCCGAGTTGCCAGCACGACCGTCGAAGACGCCTCGAGGAGCAGCAGCGACCGTTGGATATCGCCGCGCGCGCAGGCTTGCTGGTCCTCGGGCCGCTGCCCTCCGCAGCGGACGACCCGCTGCATCAGAAGCACTGGTAGGGTCGTGGCTCTTCGCGGCAGTGCTGACACCATCCTTGCTCGCCCGCAGCTGCCCCGAGCAAGCACACAGGGTGGCATTGCCTCGAGACCTGTGCGGGGGCCTTCCTTGGGCCCAGCTGGGGTGCGTACTGAGCTGGCCTCGACGACGTATGCTACTTTGCCACGACAGACTGGGGAGAAGGAGGGAAAGTGGAAGGAGGAGGAAGTAAGCAAAAACAGGAGGAGGGAGGACAAGGAATAGGAGGAGAAGGAGGAGGAGGAGAACAAGGAAGAGGAGGGAGGGCAAGGAACAGGAGGAGGAGGAGGAAGAGGAAGAGTACAAGGAAGAGGAGGGAGGACAAGGAAGAGGAGGAGGACAAGGAAGAGGAGGGAGGACAAGGAAGAGGGAGGAGAAGGACAAGGAGGCGGAGGAGGAGGAGGAGGGGGAGGAGGATGCGGAGAGGAGCAGCAACAGGAAGACGCTGGATGCACGTCTGGGTGACGGCACGACGCAAAGACGAACACGATCGACATGCTCCAGGCCCCAGGCGCACAGGTGTGCAAGTGGGAACGACCATCATCGTGTCGGGAGGGGTTGGGAAGACACAGTAGGAGCTCGACCACAAGAAACCGTCCATAAGAAACCCAACCCCGAGACCCCAGGACGTCCATCGAATCTTGGTGTGGGAACGTCACGCTTCCCATAGCAAGACCCTCGGCACCCAAAAAACCCAGGGCCCCCGGGAGGCAAGCCGGGTGTTTCCTGGCATGGGCTTCCACTGCACCGAGGGCATGACTGTGTCACTAGCCCGCTCAGCGTACGCGACAATACGGATGAGCGGATCAGTGCTCCCGGCACCTCGCCCCCACGGCCCCGAGGGGGGGCTCCTCCTCCTCCTCCTCCTCCTGCTCCTCCTCCTCCTCCTCCTGCTCCTCCTCCTCCTCCTCCTCCTCCTCCTCCTGCTCCTCCTCCTCCTCCTCCTCCTCCTCCTCCTCCTCCACCCGGCCGATGAAGAGTGTCTTCCCCGAGCAGTGGGCGGGACGCACCTCCGCATACCTGCGGCCTCGCAAGCCGCGGGACTCCTCGGCCGCGAGCCCCCCGTGCATCATCTGTACGTCTCCGTGCGGTGCCGCGCCTCGGCGCCCGGACACGCGAGGGCATCGATGCGGATGTGATCGCCGCTCGTTTTTTTTTGGGGGGGGGGGGGCAGGGCCTTGAGGGACTCACGAGATCGAAAGGAGGCTGAGGGCCACGGACAGCGCGGACGACGGTGCACCACGCTCCCGTGGCACGCCGCAGTTGCGGCAGCCGACAGCGGAGTCAGTCCTGCAGACTGGACAGATGTGATCGCCGCTCGTGAGCGGGGGGGGGTGTGCTTCGAAAAGGGGATCGACTACAGAAGTCTGGTGTACCCCAACATGGACTTTCTCGTCGAATCACAAGTGGACTGTCCGTAGCCTGCGAGCCTTCGGCGCAGGCCTCCTGGACTCGAAGAACACAGATCAAGGCTGGGGTAGGTAGATCGGCTCTGCAGCCGATCCCCCTGCTCGAGATGCTTGGCAGGGCGGGGCCGGCGCCCGGCCTGCAGCTGGGTCTCGAGGTCCGCCTTCTCCGCGCGCAGCTCCCCGCACTGCTCCTTCAGGCCTTCGCACTGCTCGTCCATGGCCCTCTTGGC